ACCTTCCCACCGTGGTGGTACCTATTTATCTACTCGCATTTTACATGCTTTCGAACTGCTAGGTTGGCAGGAGCTGGGACAAGTGGTGGGAGCTCACTCCGTTGGGTGGATTTGAACTGCTGATCTTTTGACCTTGCAGTCCAGAGGCTTTGCGGTTTAACCTGCAGCGCCACCACATCCCTTACAAGTAGCAAAGGGCACCTTTAATTAGTGAGCGATCGGCCTATCCGCTTGCCCTTTCAGTTTCCAGACTTAGGGCATAATCACATGGACCATAAGAACTGCAGTTGTATTGATTCTGCCGTTATTTAAGTCATTTTATACATTTCCATTCACATGATGCACAGTTAAAATCAATTCATTTGGCGAACTGATAGATTTTTTTTCAACCTTGCCAACATGGGCTTTTTAAAATGATCCAATCCGTGATTGCTTCTTTTCACGTTGGCTTGGCATATGTGAATGTTGCTGTTGGTTTATGTTGCACCCACTTGTGCACGGCACGGCCACTGCACTTGTTCCTCCTTTTTAATTTTTTCCCAGTGCTAAGCAATATATTGGTATTCTCTCCCCCCCAAGAGTTTACGGCTGCATCACTTCCTTGTAGTGTTCCTACCTGCTCATCATCATCCCTTTCCTTGTGAACATGGAGAAACGCCCCACCTAGTGTCCTTTGAGAAACCAAGTGCCCTAAAACTGATTAACTGCCAAGGGAAGCCTTGCCTTATGAAACATCTTCCAATATTACTTTCTAAAGTTTTTCACATGCTGCTTTTCAGATCCTGCTTTAGCATTATATCATTTAGGTATTTTTAACAAAAAGAATTTAAGCAATTTTAGAGCAGCATGCTCCTGAAGCAGAATTGAAAAGGAGTCAGTTTTACTGGGATGGCATGTGTACCGTTTTACAAAATCTGTTCAAAGTTCAAGAAATGTATCCAAAGAAAAGATAGCTGTGTGAACGTGCCCAGAGATTTATGTACCATGTGACTATACACATATTGATATAAATGAAGTAGTCAATTGAAACAATTGAAATGACCTGTATGATTAGGCCCTTAATCTCTCTTTTTTGGCCATTTTTACACTTAACACAATGTATTCATGAAAGCTTTCATGGGATCTAATGGTTATTGTGGGTTTTTCAGGCTCTTTGGCCGTGTTCTGAAGGTTGTTCTTCCTAATGTTTCGCCTGTCTCTGTGACCGGCATCTTCAGAGGACAGCACTCTGATGCTGGCCACAGAGACTCACGAAACGTTAGGAAGAACAACCTTCAGAACATGGCCAAAGAGCCTGAAAAACCCACAACAACTTAACACAATCTTCCTGGGTGTAGTAGTCAAAAGAAGTGTGTTCTCCAAATACTGGCTGTGAAATTTTTAGAGTGGTCCTACTCTTGGCTTTGCTGAAGTTAGGTTTTGAGAGAGAAACACCCAAATTTCTATATCTTATCTGTTCCCCATCCTCTCCTGTTCTTCAGAGTTGGAGTCCTGACCAGGAACGAACACTAGTGAAAGTCAAGAAAGCCAAAGAACCAGAGAAGGCAACACTCCGCAGCCTTACCCCTTCCCAGAGCAGGTAAGTTTCCCTCTCCACCAGAAAAAGTGTAGAAGACAAGACTGAGAAACAGGTATGGGTGGACTGTATTCCTTTAGCTATGAACCCTCAAATGCCACCAATCCACCAACCCTAATTGGAAACATTAGCTGTAGTACCACTTTGTTAGTCTTTAAAATGAGTTACTTCTTTGGTCTTAAAACATGAAAGAATTTAGAATATTTGTTCATTCACTAGTTAATTCATTACATTCTTAAGTAAACCTCAACATGACCCTTCGGATTTCTGAAAAGAACCATGACGAGTTAAAACAGCGAAAAGTGCTAAAATGATGTAGTTTGCCTTTTAACAATTGAAATTGCAAATTGCTAATTTGGTCCAAAAATATAACAACACACATTTGTATTTCCAGGCTATAAGTTGATAAAGAGTACAATGGAGTGAAATAATTTGGAAATTTGAAAGGGTAGAAACCATTGCAAAAATAGTAATTGGGCTCCCCAGACCTTTAGCAGTCATTCTTACCCCAATTTTAAGGCTGACGTCCATTCTCCTATTTTAATCCAAGCCCTCTTGGTGGAGAACTTTCAGCTCGATGCTAGATTTTAGAGAGTCATGGGGCTCCAAAGGCCGCTCCACCTGAAATAATGATAGCCCAGTGCTTACAGAATGTCAGAGAGGGATGTTTTCCTAAGAAGAGCTGAAATGAATTACTGGACAGAGTATCAAAATCACTAATAAATAATAATACTATTAAAGTAAAAGGCAAATTAAAATAGAAGAACCAAGGTTATTGAGAAAATTTGCACAGAGGCAAGTCCTTGTCATCTTTTACCTTAGGTACTGTAAAGACCTTTGGAGAGATTTGTTATTTCTTCCATGTCTTCATTTGTTGTTGTTGTTTAGTCGTTAAGTCATGTCTGACTCTTCGTGTCCCCATGGACCAGGGCACGCCAGGCCCTCCTGTCTTGCACTGCCTCCC